TATTTATTCCTCATAGCGGCGCCATGATAGCAGCAGCCGAATAAAGGCACATGCGCACAGTGATGGGTGTCCCTTTAAAGATTCCGGGGAACAGCGGTGACTCTCTCAGTTTAATCGATTTTAAAATGAAAAGTCAATTTAACAAAGTTGAAAAGAGAAAGATGGGCTAAAGGGAAGAAGAAGRAGAGAAAAAAAACGCATTCTCTTGCACTCAAGCAGTAAACTAACTGCGGCACAGAGCAGGCAGAGATTTCAGCTGAATTATCTCCCACCTCACATTTGCTCTTAGGCAAGCAGTTTAAAAAGCCAAGCGATTGAGCCAGTGATCCAATTTGAAATGCAGAAATGATTAGAGCAGCTTGCCTCATTTCATATCGAAATTCTCTGATTTATGACAGGGCACCAGCCAAGATCTATCTCTGAAGGGAATTAGTGTGCAATTCCTGCATATTTCTGTTAGTTAGTCTCCCCAATAACAGATGCTATAACCTTGGAGAATGGGAGAGAAAGGAATGAAAGTGGTCTAGATGTATCTTTTCATTTTCAGCAGATGTAGCCGTGGCCATTTGGAAAAGGGGAAAGCGATACAAAGAGATACTTGAAAAAAGGGAGGCATTTCTCATGTTAAGAAAGAATTTGACAACGGTGAAATAAAAGAAAATGTGCAGCATCTAGTTAAAGTACATACACAAATTTAACCAGCATGGATAAGAGAGCTGTGGGTTTGGCTTTAGCTGTTTTAGTCCCGAAAATAAAAAATAAAAAAAGAGAGAGAAGACCCTTGCAATTCATCCATCCTTGAGGCTAAGAAAATATTAATATGCAGAGCGATAACAAGGGCTAGAGGAAAATCTCCCTTAATGAAATTTCCAGTTGACCACATGCAATTTGTTTCATCGCAGTGAACAACTAATTGCAACGGACGTTATCAAGGTGTGAGTGTGCTGTCTGCTGTAAACTGACTGGTAAAACAGGTACAAATCCTTTATCCTCACTCCCAAGTTGGAAACAGAGAGCAGAGAAACTCAACATCAGCCATACGTCCACCCCTGTGCCTCCGGATTGTGTTGTGTTGTGTTTGGACTTGTAGCATTATTAAAATAAGACATGAAAATAATTTCAGACAKGTTGCCGAGATTTCTCCAACCCCATTTTTTTTCTTTTTTGAATTAGAAGTTACACCAAGCAGGTGCTGAAAGCAGAGCGTAAAAATCCGAGGAATGTCTTGATGYATTCAGACTGAGTGGTTTTGATCTCTCAGTTGTCTAAATCCTGCAGCTGTGGGATCAAGAAGGATACAGTGCCAGTCAGTGACCTTGGTGGGGGAGTGTGTGTGTGTGTGTATGTGTGTGTGTGAGCGATGAGGAAAATAATCATTCCCACCCAAGGTCTGTATCGATTTCACCTGCCCTGACCATGAAGCAGGTTAAGAGTAGCCAGTGGTGGCAAAATGGTCAGCGGTGATATCATTAGCTTGTTGTTTACACGYGGAAGCAGGCGGGTGAGGAGACGGCTGAGTGTCACAAGCCACTTTCTTCTTCACCTCCTTCAGCTGATCAGAGGATCATGGTATCAAGGAGGGATTAGTAGCGACTTGGGATTTGTGTGATTGGTTAATTTATTGCGGTGATGGCAGGTCTTTCATCTATGGCAACATTTAATCAGCGCAGTCACAGAGGCTATTACAGGTTAGCTGCTTTCTGGAGTCAGTCTGGCTGTGCCATCAGCTCTATCACAATTCCCCTGAAATTTCCAAATTATCTGGAACAGGCTTTAGCTTCTCAGTAATAAAAATTAGAACAGATTCCTGATAGAAGCTTTTGCTCACACAGGGCCAATTATAAATAGTACAGCCTTGGCTTGGAAGAGGAAAAAGAGGAATGGGGGGGAGAGGGGGAAAAAAATCCAAGTCTGAGAGATGTGCACGGAACTTATCGTTCAGAGCCTGCTCCGCTCTGATCCAAATCCGTGTGGCTGAAAATTTATATTAGATGCTATCACAGAGGCCTAAGTCTAGAAAAATCAATGAAGGTTATCTTTTATGTTGCAGCAACTTGTGGAAATATTGATTTTCATTTTACAGCGAATTTGGAGCATCAGTTTGTAATCACTTCCTCGCTGACTACACTGTTTTGGTCACTGTATCTCTTACACGAAGAACGGTAATAGTGCTCAGAGGAAACGGGGGGAAAAAAACATAAAATACAGGAAGTGTATTGAAACCACTGAAGTGAAGGTGGAAGGTGGATAAACCATAACACAGTGCACAAAGAAGAAGGCCAGGGGGCTTACGGGTACCAATAGAGGGGACAGATAGTTTATTAAAGTGATATTGAAAGAGAAATGGCAGCTGTTTTGTGGTATTCACTCATTTTAATTAGAATTTCTAAACCTAAAGAGGCATGGAAAAAATAAGAGCTGAAAACAAGAATTAGCATTTTTAGCAATAATGCTAAAAGAAAAAATATATCAACAGCTGTTTTTATAATTTTTTGAAACAGAGGCCAGCATTTTATTCCATCAGAATATTGTTTTGGAC